AGCATAAATACCTTCTTTTTCAGTCATTACTATATTATTTTGTATATGCTTATATCAATAGCTAACAAAGGACTAGTGTATAAAATTATTCTGAAAGACAAAAATCCCAATGTCCCACTATTCGACGATCGAATCCGGATTGGGGGACTCAGTTCCCGGAAATTTTTTCGAAATTGACAAGTGAATAAATAGAAAAAGGAAATGAGAAAGTTCAGTTACTAAAATTGACTTTGCGGACCGGTTAAAGTTCCCCAACTAAAATCATATATGCATATGCGAATTCCTCATGTAAATTTTAGAATTTCACATGTACACTTACGCAACTAATTTTGGTAGCCCCGCAACTAACGCTAAATATGAATTTTAGGACACAATGATATGATGCAGTAGAACCCTTTCCAATTTTAATTTTTCTAACTCTATACTATATATACTTAATATGGAGTTTCTTATATATATATATACTTAATCTGGGAAAACGCGTGTACAATAAAATAAAAAATAAAAGCCTGTCGCTTTTTGGTTTTTTATCTTTTATCCCTTTTGTAAAGACAAATTGGTTTCCTCTAAAGATATCGTTTTGCTTTTATCTTTATAACAATCATATAGTCAACGTCATGTATCGCTTTAAAGATTTTTATAAAAACATCGATTACAATAGGCAGACCATTGAAGTTCCTGGGACGCGTAAAGATGGGCAAACAGGTAAAATATGTTGATTCTTACATAAAAAATTTCGACATATTAATAATGTATTAATTTAGGCATTTTAAGACATCCACTCACACCTGACGGATTAATTTCTCAACCATGGCCAGAAGTGGGCACGATCTTCGAGGCATTTCAATACTGTATGTGATCTTCTAATCTAATATTGTTTTAAGTAATGATTATCATCATCATTATTTATAATTGCTCTTGCAGCATTCCAACGCTTTCCTAACCGACCATTTCTTGGACATCGCCCATTCGATAAATCGACCAAAAAATATGGTGATTATGTTTGGCAAACTTATTCTCAAATCAATGAACGTATAAATGAGCTTGGAAGTGGAATTTGCTTTGTTCTTAAAAAAGAACTCGGGTTCAAAAAGATTGTTGGCTCTACTTTGGGTGTTTGGTCTCTTAATCGTCCTGAGGTTTACATTTCATTCTATTTATCTCTCTTCGTTAATGCAGTGTCTATAATTAATTCTACCAAATATAAATAAATAGTATCATATCGTCAACCAAGCTGCTGCCGCGTTTAACTTTATAACTGTTCCACTTTACGAGACACTCGGTCCTGACACAGTGAGGTACTGTGTGAATCATGCAGAAGTCCATACGTTAGTTTTATCGGCAAATCACATTCGTGACTTATTGAAAATATGTTCGGAAATTCCAAAAGTAAAATTATTAATTTCGATGGATCCTCTGGAAGACATAAATTTAAAGAATGAGGCCAAAAAATATAATTTAACTCTTTACGAATTCAACGAAATTGAATTCTTAGGCCGAGAACATCCATATCCGCACAACCCACCTAAACCAAAAGATCATTCAACAATTATGTATACATCTGGAACAACAGGTCTTCCAAAGGGAGTCATATTGACGCATGAGAATTTCACCTCGACAATGGCCAGTTACATAACAGCGTTTCAAATTACTCAGGATGATGTATTAATTTCTTATATGCCATTGCCACATATATTTGGTCGAGGCCTAGAAGAAATCTTTGTCGCCGCTGGTGGAAGTATTGGTTATTTCCACGGAAATCCAAATGAATTACTTCTGGATGCTCAAGTTTTAAAGCCAACTGTGTTCCCAGCTGTCCCAAGGATATGGAATAAAGTTTATCGTTCATTAGTCGCCGTAACAATCGAAGCACCTGGTGAGGTGGGTGAAATATCGAGGGTGGCTGTAGCAGAAAAACTAAAAAATCTTGAAGAGACAGGTGAACTGAAACATCCTATATGGGACGAGAAAGTCTTTAAAAAGTGTCGATTGGCAATTGGAGGGCGAGCTCGATTGCTTATAACTGGTGCAGCACCAATTGGCATAAATATATTGCAATTTCTGAGAATTGCTTTTTCCGCTATAATTATAGAGGGTAAATTCTTTTATTTAGCTACAAATATACATATAGATATTATTTAATTTGTTATTTTATGAAAAATATAGGATATGGTCAAACCGAAAATACTTCACTTACCGCTGCAACACTTTATGGAGATAATAATAAGGCCGGTAGCGTTGGCATACCTCAGATAAGGTAAGCAATTAAGTTATTAGATAGAATGCTAATTTATTTGTTGTGCATGCTCTTTTCATGTATTAATTTTCTAATTATAGTAATGAAATTAAGCTTGTTGATGTGCCTGAGATGCAATACACCAGTAAAGACAAACCATATCCACGTGGTGAAGTATGCGTGAGAGGACCTAATATTATGGCTGGGTATTATAAAGACGAGGTAAAGACCAGAGAAACGATCGATGAGGTAAAGTTCAGTAAATATTTTATATTTAAAAAATTTACCTTGCTTATTATTAATAAATCATTTGGTTTAACTAATAATAATAGGAAGGGTGGCTTCATAGTGGTGACATTGGCCAAATAGATGATCGAGGACGAATTATACTCATAGATCGGATAAAACATATTTTTAAATTGTCTCAAGGGGAATACATTGCTCCAGAAAAAGTAAGAATATTTGAAAAATTATTCCTTTTCCTTTTTGGCATTAAAATTTTACAGTTTTTTTCTTTAGATCGAGCAAATATATCTTCAAGTTTCTTTAATAGCCCAATTATATGTGCATGGAGATTCAGTAAGAACCTTTCTTGTTGGTATAACAGTGCCAAACGTGGAACTATTCATACCATGGGCTCAAAAAGTTCTCGGCGGCGGAGAAAATAAAACTTTACAAGAACTCACAAATAATAAGCAGGTTCGAAAAGCTCTTGTATGTCATCTGAATGAGGTTGGTAAAAAAGCAGGATTAAAAGGGTAAGTCGTAATTCTAGTTTTAATTTCATTTCGATTTTGATTTAATTGACGATTCTTGAATCCGAAATTTATTTCCGCGTTTTATTTTCTCTATGCAGATTCGAACAAATTAAGGCTATTTTTATTGACACTGTTCCTTTCTCCGTCGAGAATAATTTGCTGACACCAACGTAAGTTTGATTTTTTATTATGTAAGTTTGCATCTTTATTTTTATTATTTAACCCTCTATATTTTTATCGACATAGTCTTAAGATTAAACGTAAAATGGCTGGAGAGAAATATCGTAAAGAAATTGATCAATTGTATGCTGAATTTGAAGATAAAAATTCTGTTGTCTCTAGACTGTAAATGATTTATTATTTATTTATTTATTTATTGTTAAAGCAATCTTTGTTTCAATTCATTGAATTTTTTTACAAGATATAATAGCTATAGAGTAATTATAATTGAAATAATGAACACAACATATACTGAATTGCATCTTAATATTATCTGAATATTTATATAAAATTTATTCTAAAATTTTTTGTGTAAATCAGATTTAAACAAGATCAAGCTAATATTTAGATAAATTCTATCTTATTCTAATAAATATTAGTTTTGGAGAGTTCTTGAATATTTAGAATACAAAATAAATTAAGTTTCTTATTTTTTATATATTAAAAAAAGATGAGTTAGTTTTGTCAAAATTGAAATATTATGCATATCACACTTTCAAAACTTATTTATTAATTTATAAAAAGAATTTTTATCTATTTTATAATAAGAAAAAGTATATAATTTAATAATAATTTAGCTTTTTTAGAATTTATTTTTCTAGTATATTGATAAATAAATGATTCTTAAAATTTAATTTTATATAATAAATATAATTATATTTTTATATATATTATTATTATTCTTAATTAAAATAATAGAAAATAAATTAAATATAATATTTAATTAAAAAAATTTATAATAAGAATAATAAAAGTTATTATATATACTTGAAATAGTTATAATATTAAAGAAGATAATATAAAAAAAACTTTATAAAAATAAAATATTAATATTATATATCTCTAAATATAAATAATCAAAAAATATAAGATTTTAACAGGATAAAGAGAAGATATTGCTTATATTTGAGTATAAATTTATTATATTTTATATATAATATTTCAGAATTTCAAATCTTAAAATGAGATGATTATTTATATTTAAGAGTTACTTATATTTATTATATTTAGAGATATATGATAGAATTTATAAATCTATTAGTAAAATTTTGCTAATTATATAATAAAATAAAGCTTTAATATTCTTATTCTTTATAATTTTTTGAATTTATTTTATTTTTTATAAAAAATTAAATTTTTAATTTAGATATTATTAATATTAATAAGAAA